CTTGTCTGGGCAAGAGACAGAGTAGAAAATTGAAGACAGCATAGGAGATCACAAAGGTATTTGCTTTATTTATTTAACCTTTCCAGGCTCTGCCCAGCTGGGAATCTGCTTGCAGTTGTGTTAAGCATAGAAAGAAAAGACCAACTTGGAAAGTCAATATGATAGAAAAATTTTTTTAGATGCAATAATTACTTGGTGGTTTTAAAACATAATGTAACTGGGTGATTTAGTTTTCTGAAATATACAGATTTCTAATAAGCAGGTCAGATTTAAATTTCAACAGATTTGAAAACAACTTTTAACTAGATACATTACCTATATTTCTTATTCAATGACATGGATTCATAGATAATTAAATTATGCTAATCAGGTACTTACTGCTGCTGGTTCCAGACAAAACAAGCCTGTGGTCACATTTCTTTTTAATGAAGTCTCTTTTGGGGGCATTACTATTTCAATGTTTATTCGTCATTATGAGTTTTATGTTCACTTAAGGTGATGTTCACCTTGGGTTCGGACATTTTTGTAATGTGAAACTCATGAATTCGTTTCATGTAGATACTTAAACCAATAAACCTAAAATACACGACAGTCCATTATGTTTGATCTAGTTGTGTTTCCATATGTCTTAACTGCTGAGTGAACACAAGCATGTTGGCGGGTTTCTATTAAAGCTGATTTACTTGAATGCACCACTAAGGTAGGATATGGAAATTTCTTCCTTAGTCTGAGATCCGTATCAAATCTACAAGATTCAACAAGAACTACGATAATTATCACTCTGAAATTATGTAGTTCCTATCCTCTGAAACCATCTTTCCTTTGTGAAAATCAAAGCAGCCAAGCGTTTTAAAATCGGTCTAATTCTTGAAAAGTGAAATATGTCGATGTAGTATCTTCTTTAAACAGAGAAGACACTGAGAGAGTAAGATTGCGTTATCAGGAGTGTATCTAGGTGCAGAACCGGAATATTTTGAGGCTATTGGCTGTCAGACAGACTACAGCCCACCCTCCCCGTGAGGAGGTTAGCTCGCCGCTCTGTCGGGGGTGGTAAGGTGGTCACCTGACCGTGAGGAGCATCTCCGCACCTGTCTGTCCTTCACGGACAGAGCTCCGTCCACGAAGGGCACGGTGCCTCCCGGCTGCCCTTAGTGTTAGAACTCGGATTGCGTGAACAGGTTTTCCCTCTTACGTAAATGATGGTTACTATGGCTCGGCCTGCTTTTCTTCTTCATTTTCCAATATAGAAAAGAATTTTAAGTGGTTTCCATTAGTGGCGAGGCTTTGTGATTTTTCTGCTCCAACCCACATTCTTTTCAGATCTAAACGAGTGTGGCCTGAAGCCGCGGCCCTGCAAGCACAGGTGCGTGAACACGCACGGCAGCTACAAGTGCTTCTGCCTCAACGGGCACATGCTCCTGCCGGACGGCTCCTGCTCAGGTATGTCAAGAATCTTAACTGTTGGGAGTGCTCCGGGCTTGCTTTCCGTTGTGCTCTGGCAGCAGGCCTTTGTGACGGTGGCCTCCCGGCCCCGCCTAGACAAGATGTGTGCATGTGCATGTGTGCCTCAGCGGCTGAACATCAAAATAAGAGGTACCTGTTTTAGATATATGAGCATGGGTGCCAATATAAAAATGGATTACGGAATGGTATTTAGAACAAGAATCACGGCCAGGCGCAGTGGCTCATGCCTGTAATCCTAGCACTCTGGGAGGCCGAGGCGGGAGGATCACTTGAGGTCAGGAGTTCGAGACCAGCCTGAGCAAGAGCGAGACCCCTTCTCTACTAAAAAAATAGAAAGAAATTATCTGGACAACTAAAAATATATGTAGAAAAAATTAGCCGGGCACGGTGGCGCATGCCTGTAGTGCCAGCTACTTGGGAGGCTGAGGCAGGAGGATCGCTTGAGCCCAGGAGTTTGAGGTTGCTGTGAGTTAGGCTCCACGACACTCTAGCCTGGGCAACAGAGCCAGACTCTGTCTCAAAAAAAAAAAAAAAAGAACAAGAATCACAAAACTAAGTATATTTCCTAATGTTTTTCTTAACATTTATTCTTTTCTTCTATCTGGGCATAGAAGAACAATTCCAGGTAGAAAAAGAACATTAGTGACTCTTTGGGGACTGGTCATCAGGTCTGTTGAGTGATTTAAAATCATTCATAAATACCTTCTCACTTCGTTTCTATATTTCTTCACAAAAACCTAAAGACTTTTAGATGTTTGTAATAGTCTGAGAATTTTCTAAAAAACTATTTCAAATAGTCCGGGCACAGTGGCTCACACCTGTAATCCTAGCACTCTGGGAAGCCGAGGCGGGCGGATTGTTTGAGCTCAGGAGTGTGAGGTTGCTGTGAGCTAGGCTGACGCCACGGCACTTTACCCGGGCAACAGAGTGAGACTCTGTCTCAAAAAAAAAAAAAGAAAAAAAACTACTTCAAATAAAAAAATAAATGAATATGATATCAGAAAAGTAGCTTTCATGTGTTTCTTTATAAGAAATGCATGTTTCCTACTATCGTTTGGATGTCTTTATAAGATGGGCAATGCCTTAAAATTCTCTGTAGGCTGAACGCTAAATCGAGGTTGTGGTCCTATGATATCTAACAATTAATGACTTAATTTTTATTTTTACTGAATTATCAGTTGATTAGGTTGCATTTTATAAAATAAAAAAAAGTTAGCTGATTTAATTTAGCGTTGCGTAATCACAGCATGGAACTTTTCGTAATGAGGTGAGTGCGTGCTTAGGAGCACGTGGCAGCAACGTGAGGTCCTCTGGCATTGTACAACTCCGTGGGACATCCGTCCTCCCGGGAAACTTCGCAGGTGGTTGAGACAGTTACTTGGATGTTGTAGTTAAGAACAACACCTCGTTTGAGTAATCTGGAAAAACATCTCAATTCTCCAATTTCCTTGGCCACTGGAAAAATGTCGAGATTATCTGTGTGAGATAAAGTTTTATATTTGCCTTTTAATTCTTCAGAAGCATTAGAGGTCTTCCCCAGAGGATGCCAGAGCTGGTTCGTGTCTTTTTTTGTTTGTTTTGTTTTTGTTTTTTTTTTTTTTGAGACAGAGTCTTGCTCTGTTGCCCGGGCTAGAGTGCCGTGGCATCAGCCTAGCTCACAGCAACCTCCACCTCCTGGGCTCAAGCGATCCTCCTGCCTCAGCCTCCCGAGTAGCTGGGACTACAGGCGTGAGCCGCCGCGCCCGGCCTGCTTCATATCTTAATCGTCCTGGGGGGAGGAGGGTCTTTCTGCCCCTCCCTCCGTTTTTTTACTGTCTTCAGAATGTTGGATAATCGAGGCCTCTGTGTCTTCATTGTGGATTCAGCGTCACTGATTTCAACACAAGTGAAAAACACGATTATTTCAGTTGCAGGTTTGGTTTCCTGACTCTGTGAGTCAGCCAGACACTCTCTCCCCAGGTGCCCTGACGTGCGCCATGGCGAACTGCCAGTACGGCTGCGACGCCGCCAAGGGACAGGTTCGCTGCCAGTGCCCGTCTCCTGGCCTGCAGCTGGCGCCTGACGGCAGGACCTGCGTGGGTGAGTCGCACAGTCAGGCAGCTCTGTCGACAGCCTCCGTGGGACAGAGGAAGGAAGCGGGGGGGCGGCGGGGGTGGGGACAAAGGTCAGGGACTCGCACCGGGTAGGCAGCCAGCCTTCGGGAGATGGCAGATGTCTCGGAAGGGGTTGTCTCTCTGCGGACGGACCGTGGGAAAAACGAGGATGGGAGGAAGCGCCGGGCAGAGGGAACCGCGTGGGCGAGGCACTGCCGTTCAAGGGGGAACACGTGCAGGGAAAGAAGAGCTCAGAGTTTCTAGAACACAAGTGGCAGGGAGGAGCGATGGGTGATGATGTGAACAGGTAGGCAGGGCCGGGCCGTGGGTGTCGCGCTGCAGGCGTTGGGTGTCCTGGTACGGTGGGAAGGCAGTGCAGGATTGTGGCTAAGAGTCTGGGCTTCGGTTTCACTCATAAAACTGGCTCCGCCATATGCTAGTTATATAAGCTTACGCAAGAGTCTTCCTTTCTTTGAGCTTGGATCGCCTCGTCTTTAAACGGGAATAAAGCCACGTAGAACGATTGTGGGGCTTGAGTGAGATCCCACATGCAAAGAGCTCAGCCGGGACCTAGCAGGCGGTAGGCGCTGAACGGTGGGGGTGTTTGGTAATTCACAGGTATCTGCTGGGCACTTCCTGTATTCCAGACACTGCGCTGAGTGCTAGGGTGTGCAGGGATGGACAAAGCAAGCACGATTGTCATCCTCACCAAGCCGACGTTCTAATGGGGGAGGCAGAAAAGAAACAAGCACCTGGTAAAATTCCAGACAGTGCTAGGTGTTACCGTGAGTTGCTAAGAGAGAAAAAAACAGAAAAGGTCTATTTTGGAAAATAATGGTCAGAGAAAACCTTAAGTAAGACCGGGACCGTTGGCCGTGTGAAGAACCAGCTGACAGGTGCAAACACTGCAGGATGCCACAGTGGGAGGGAGGCTCACCTGTGTGAGGCCTTTAACGAAAGAAGGGCCCCGTGGCTCCCATCCAGAGAGCGACCATGGGGTGAGGTAGGTGAGGGCTATTTATGGCAGCGCCTGCAAAGACGGGGAGGAAGGGTGGATGTAATTCTAAAGGTGAGTAGAACAGTGGAAAGGTTTTCTGCATAGTAATGATCCAATCGTATGTTTTAGCAAAATCATTTTCACAGTTGGGTTGGGAAGGTTTCGGAGGGGGTCAAACTGGCTGCGAAAAGACCGGTTTGGACGCGCTCGTAACATCAGCAGACGGTGGCTTGGGGTACAGCAGTGACCGGGAGAGAAGGGTAGACAGGTTCCAGTAACGTTTCAGAGGTAGAGTTAACTGGACCTGGTTATTCGGGAGTTAAGGGAGAGAGGATTGTCTGGCATTGCTCATGTCTCTAGCTGAAGCAGCTAGGCAGATGCAGGCACAGTCTGTACTGACACAGCGAGGGGGCGGGACAAGAACAGTCGCTTTAGGAGGATGGGTTGAAATTTGGATATGTGGGATTCACGTGGCCCGTGGGGCCAGCCAGCTGGATGCCGTCTATGACGAGCCACTAGATGCCAAGCAACAGCTGGCAGCCAGGTGTTTAGTTTAAATCCCGCTATGTCTGAACACACCCTCGCTCCTCCTGAGATGCCGTTGACTTGTCTTTCTAGACGTCGACGAATGCGCCACGGGAAGAGCCTCCTGCCCCCGATTCAGGCAGTGCGTCAACACCTTCGGGAGCTACGTCTGCAAGTGCCCCAAAGGCTTCGACCTCACGTACATCGGCGGCAAATACCAGTGTCATGGTAACGAGACCCAACCGTCGCTCTGTGTTGTTGCCTCTCGTTATGTTCCTGAAAGGTCTCTGCACCGTGGTGATGGCTGGGGTGTCGGGGGCAGAGCGGGGCGCAGCGTTAAACTAAGCAAACCCACAGACGTCCAGTTCGACCACGAGGGCTCCCGGATCTACCTGTGCCCTATTTCTCTGTTTACTGTGGATGTTACGTGGACCCTTAAGATTGCCAAAAAATATATATTATTTTTGAGACGGTATATGTTTTTCATGTCGTCGTGTTTATCCCCTAAATAAAACCGTTCTTTCCCCGTTTCCTGCCGCAGACGTAGACGAATGCGCCCTGGGCCGGCACCAATGCAGCCGCTCTGCGCGGTGCTACAACGTGCACGGCGCCTACACGTGCAAATGCAAGGACGGGTACCAGGGCGACGGCCTGAGATGCACGTGTGAGTGACGCTCGTCTCCCGGCTCCAAACCCCGGCGGGAAATACGGGATCTACGCAAAGGCCCCTGCTAGGGAAGCAGAGGAATGAGATTAATCATCAAAGCAGTATAATTTTCATAATAGCGATATTAATCTGTGCTTTCCACCAACGAAAAAATCCCTTGCTCGGGTATTTTAAAAAACTATGTGCTCGGTAACACATTTTAACCTTGAAAGTATTTGACTTTCTCAACTAAAATCTTTCAGTAGCTTCCCTTCACCTAGAAAGAAAGTGTAGAGGGCCCTCCCTGAGAATCTGATTTTGTTGAAATCAGAAGTAAATATTTGTCGTTAGCATTAGATTTTGATGGTGGGATAATCTACAAATATTCTATGTTTTTGTTCCTCTGTTTTATGCCTTCCGACTCTGCCATTAAAAAATCATTCCCAATATTTATTTCCTCTACATTCAGAACTGTTTTGCTTGTATAAGATTTGTATAAGTTTATTTGGTGTAGTAGCTATGTTAGTAGATAAACATGAAAAAAATACCCTTCAAGATGAAAGTTTTACAAACCAAAGGTCATAATTTAGCATACATTTCATGAGACAGTAGACAATTTTTAAAATTTTCTGAGTAAAATATTTACTGAAAACCACAGGGCATAAAATTGTGGGGAGTGTGTCATTCCAGGCAGATTAAATATTGATTCTTTTTGGTGAAGATTATCAAGGAAAAAGATGCCACAGATGATCTTTGCAACCTCTGCAATTGTTTTTTTAAAATAGCAATTGTGTAAATTAGTAAGGGGCACAAAAACCAACTATAAAACAATATATAAAACATTTAAACTTTTTTTGAGTTGGATTTATATGAAGTGTAGATGAAAAAAGTTTTAGTCTTTAGATAATTCTAAGCATTTTATAATATATGGCATAGGGACACAAGATAGACTCTATACGTTTCTTATATTTTAAAAAACTTAGAATGTCTCTGCATTTTAAAAAATCTCATTGACTGCTATTTCCATTCTCTAAATATCCAAAACTTTTCTGTGTTGCAACTAATATATTCATCATACAAACACTAGTATATTTTTGCATACATCCAGAGAAGTATATTCGTATATGTGAATGTATGAGTATCTATGTGCATATCATATATATACACACGTATTTGTTATTTGGATGACTTATACATCATGACTTACACTATGGAATATTCTAAATGTGAACAGTAAGGCTAGTTGGCATGAGACGTTTTCATGTGCCTGTTTTTCAAAGTGAGGTGTTTCACTGTTTGGGGAGAGATGGTCACACGCTAATTTAAATCTTTGACTTTTTCAGATATCCCAAAAGTCATGATCGAACCTTCAGGTCCAGTTCATGTACCAAAGGGAAACGGTACCATTTTAAACGGGGACGGAGGACATAACAATCGGATTCCTGACGTTGGGAGTACCAGGGGGCCGCTGAGGACACCGTATACTCCCGCCGTCGTTACCGACAGACCCACCCCCAAGCCAGCACCCTCGCCCACTCCACCGCCGCCGCCGCCCCTGCCGACAGAGCTCGGGACACCTCCGCCAGCAGCGACCCCAGAAAGGCCGAGCGCCAGACCGACAACTCCAACTCCGGCTCCGGCTGCCAGCCCGTCTCCCCGAGGGGCGACAGTTGACAACAGGGTTCAGACGGATCCCCCGAAACCCAGAGGAGATGTGTTCAGTAAGTCACATAGATGTCAGCACATGTTTAACAGGCTCTTAGCGATGGCATTTCAACCGCAGGCTACGCCTCGGGTAAGAATCAAACTCATAAAAAGAATTAGACACGTACCCTATCGACATACTACGAAGAGCAGGGTGAAGTGTCGGCCTAACCGGGCAAGTAGGAGAGAATGTTGTAGAAAGGGGAGGAAGATCACAAAGCAACATGGAGGATCACAGCTCCCACCCGGCGTAGCCATCTCCTGGCATAGCTGGATGTGCTTGAAAACTCTCAGAGACGGAAACTTCCTGTATCCCACAGCATCTTACTTTGGCTGTGACCGTTTGCTCACGCAGTCGGTGAACATTTCGGGGTGCTTTTGGGGTGTCAGGCAGGCCTTGTGTCAGCCACTGGGTTTACAGAGATAGAACAGCAAAGGTCGCAGTCTGGTGGGAAAGACGGTCCCCCAGGAGCTAGCGGTGGAGCCATGTTGGTAAGAGATGCGTGTAGGACACCGTGTGAGCGAGGAGAAGGGGGTTGAGTCAGCCCGTGGGTAGGGAACGTTCCGGAAGGGCTGCCCGAGTGGAATGGGGCAAAGGTGGTGAGAAAAGGGAGGCGTCATAGTTAACGGGGACAGCACAGCTCCCGGAATACACTGGAAGGTCACGTCAGGGAGGGACGAGAGAAGCCAGCCCAGTACTGGCTGGACACTGATGAGTGTATCTAGACTGGGGCTAGACTAGGTGTAAGACGCCCAGATTTGGCCGGGCGCGGTGGCTCACGCCTGTAATCCCAGCACTCTGGGGGACCGAGGTGGGAGGATTCCTGAAGATCAGGAGTTCGAGATCAGCCTGAGCAA